GAGAGAGAGAGAGAGAGAGAGAGAGAGAGAGAGAATTTTAATATTTTATTTTTTTTAGTTTTCGGTGGACACTACATCTTTGTTTGTATGTGGTGCTAAGGATCGAACCCAGGCCACATGTATGCCAGGCGAGCGCGCTATGGCTTGAGCCTCATCCTCAGCCCAAAGACATATTTTTTTTTAACTTTTATTAACCAAATACCAGAACATCAAAATGCAGAAAGCCAAAACTAATAAAAATGAAAGAAATAAACAAAATCCATTAATATGATTTGAGACTTCAGCATCCCACTATTTAGAAATGGATGGATTCAACAACTAGAGAATCAGTAAAGGCATGACAGATTCAACAATGCCATCAATCAACTGGGCGTAATGAACATCTATTGACTACTTCATCCAACAGTGGCAGAGTACATATTCATCTCAAGCTCACACGTGGAACATTCACCAAAGTACAACATGTTCTGGGCACTGAGGCACTTAAATACACCTAAAGAAATTGAATAGAAATTCACTGAATGTCTACTTTTGGATCACAATGGAATTAAAGGAGAAATCAATAACAAAAAGAGAGCTGCAAAATAGCAACATATTTTGAGATTAAACAACACAGCCCTAAATAACACAAGGATCAAAGAAGAACAATCAAGTGATTTTATAGATACTACGAACTAGATGAAAATGAAAACAACTTATCAAAATTTGGATGCAGGGGAGTCAGTGCTTACAGAGAAATCTGTAGCACTGAATACAAATATTCTAAAGAAGAAAGATCTGAAGTAATAAAATCTAGAAGCACATATAATGTTCTTATTATCTATTTTTTTATACTTTAGGACATGCTTCCCAGGTAAAGTCTTCCATATAGGTCAATACAAAATGTTCAACAATGGTGCCATTGTAAGAAATGTTCTAATTACCAAAAAAGGACAGATTAAATCCATATAAGCAGAAAAAAAGACATAATAAAAATTACAGCAGAAGTCAATTAAATTGAACATAGGACCTCTATAGAGAAAATTTTTTCAAAACCTCCAACTGTTTGTCAAAAAAGGCTGATAAACTTCTAGACAGAATGATGAAGAAAAAAAGAAGTAACACAATTTTCAGATATCAGAAAAGGGAACATCACCACAAAGCTCATAGACATTGAAAAGATAATCACAGAATACTATGAACAACAGTATGCCTGAATTTAATAATGTAAATGAAATGCCAATTTTTTGAAAGACACAATCTGCCAAAACTCACGTCAGAAGAAATACACAATCTTAAAAGGCCAGTATCTATTAAAAACTTGAATCAACAAATAATAATTTTCCAAAACAGTATGAGATGGTTTCACAAGTGAATCCCACCAAACATTTAAGAAAGAAATTACACCACTTTTCTACAATCTTGTTCAGAATATTGAAGCAGAGGGAATATTTTCTGATTTATTCTATGAAGCCAGCATTACCCTAATACTAAATACAGACAGTTAGGAAAACTACAGATTTATAAATGTCATGAACATACATGAAAAATCTTTCAAAAAAATATTAGCAAATTGAATTAAAAGTTGATAAAACACCATGAACCCACAGGATTTATCTCAAATATTCAAGACTGGTTGAACCTTCAAAAATCAGTTAAGTAATCCATCACATCAGCATTCTATAGAACAAAAATCACATAATCATATCAATACATGCAGGAAAAGCATTTGACAAAATCCAACTCACATTCATGATTTTAAAAAAAAAAAGTTTCAGTAAACTAGGAGTAAAGTAGAACTTCCTTGACTTGGTAAAGAATATCTACAAAAATCTACAACTAGCATCATACTTAATGTTGGAAAAGTAGACGCTTACCTGCTAAAATCCAGAAGACACAAGGATCAGGGCCAGGTCAAACACACCTGTAATCCCAGGCTCAGGAGGCCAAAGCAGGAGGATTGCAAGTTCAAACCCAGCCTCAGTAACAGTGAGGAGGCACTAAGCAACTCAGTGAGACCCTGTTTCTAAATAAAATACAAAAT